CCTTACTATTTTTATGCAAAGTCAGAGTTGATCTTGTCCGACAAATTTGGGGTTCATATTGCTACATCCGAACAGAAGTATAACGAACAAGACTTAAGGCCATATAATCAACTTGCAGTGACTATATGCCATATTTAGATATCCTGTCCACTACATCTTTATCCAGCACCCTCTGATACTCACTCGCCATACTGAAAACTGAATACTGTCTGAGTTCAGTCCTGATAAGATTGCTACACAAACGCAACTGGATTAAAACCTGAAAGATAAACAAAGACTCACTTGAAACTGAAACAACTGAAACATAACATGAAGACACAAAACTGTACACCACTGTTATTTAAGTTCATGTATGGTCGTTAGACGTTGTGTATATATCAGCATTAAAGGGCGGTAGTGGTCGCGCTGCGCATGTGCGACATTTGTGTTGATAAACATTGATTTTTCCACAATCCAATGCGCTCTTCTAATGGAAATCACAAGTATGAGGTTTGACCTGGACCCGACTTACATCCGGTGACTTTCTAATCACCTAAATATACCTAATTACAGCTTAGTAACGCCTCAGTTTGTACTCGTTGATTTGCGCAACAGCCAAAGTCGCCATCTTTGTTTATACGAGTCCTATACATCTCGCGCATGCGTGGTGCGACGACTGCGGCCCTTTAACACAAACAGTTTGTAATAACACAAGCACATGTTACAAAAATATATGTCACTTCAATGTGCAACCCAACATATATTATCAAGTTTGACTGAACTTAGCAGGGTCATAGCAGTAACAACAGACACATTCAACTATTAGATGAACGTTGAATTTGAATGCAAACAGCCTAGTCAAACATAACAAAGTCCCTGTTTTTGGACTTCATCCAAACAATCTTTGGCAGTGTAACTGCTGATGACCAACACTCAGGATTAAGTGAAGTATTGTTAATATATAATATTTCCTTCAAAATGAAGATTTTTTCCAGTCTATAGTTTAGCTACACTAAAACAGTAAAGTCATGATTAGCAGAAAGCATTGTCATGCACTCACCTGACATAATATATTTTTTGAATTTTAAACTTACCAAAACCCAAAACCTTAACCTCATTTTGGTTATGTAATTATCATTCAAATTAAATATAGAATTCATGTGATGTGATTATCACCCTCCCCCCATTTCACACATGATTGATATATCCATTAATCATATTATTATCTTCTCTCAAGCCGAATATCAATTTACACGAGGATTACAGCCCCTTTCTTCTACTACAAGGGCACCTTCCATTAAAGTTCAATGCGAGGTGGCCTGGTTAATTATTTGTATTGTGCAAGTGTATCCAGTTTGTGTAACTTGACTTTAACATACTGTAAAGTACTTTATTTTCGCTTGGAATTAATTTTCGCTGAAAGGATGATTCAGTGAAAATAAAACACAGTAAATATACTTTTTGGCCTATATTTTGAATTCAACTCGCCAAAAATCAGTGAAAATAAATTCCATACAACAAAACACCCAAAAAGTATTTTCAGCAAAAATTAATTCCAGCTAAAATAAAGTATTTTACAGTAGATAAAATCTCTACACCTATACAACTTAGTATCTGGACTGTAGCATATATTCATAGATGTAATATTCATTGTTAATTATATAAATTTGTTACATGTAAGGACTAATGTAAAAAGATTTGTTTGCAAATGAATTCACTATTCTGAGCAATTCCATTTGGTTTCAATGTTCAGTAATTAAGTTTTATTGTTAATATACATGTTCAAGTGAGTTCAATGTAGCAAAATTACAATTTAATGAACTATAATTGACAGTATTAGATCAGAACTTGACAGGGGTTGTTTACAACAAGGAAGGCGGACTGAGTTCCGTTGTTTTGGGTAATTGTAAAGTCCACATTACCAAGTGAAACAAATGAATTTGTAACATTACTATTTTAAACCTTCCACACTAAAACTGAGTGAATTGGGTTTGAGATAATACCGATACCAGCATAAACTACATTGAAACTGCTTTCTCACATGGTTTCTTATTATTGACATCTTCCCCACCAAAAAACAAACAAACACAATTGTAGTTTGTTTCATAAAGACACTCTCAACTCTGTCTTATTGTTATCTAAATCACGTTTTAGTTACTGGAAGTAATCAGTATTCATATTGGAGGACGTACATTTAAACTCATTGCATTGTATTGCACACAGACTACGACAGAACGGAAACTTCTAAAACTGTGGCTTGGTAGCTGTACTTATGGAATTCTCATTGGTTATACATAGTTGGGAAAACAGAACTTTTGGGCGAATATAAAACTTAAAAACTAATATCAAAACCACACACTGGGCTGAGAAAAAACTTGAGAAACGGCACAATGACTCGCTCACATAAACAGGAAACGAAATACAGTAGTATCCCATAATATGAATCAGGTGACACAGTCTTTAGCGTATTCAGACACAAGTGGTCATTTGCAAAGATGTGTACAGTGTGGTTCAATGATGATCGTCGCTGATGATTGGTTCACGCAATGCAAGTAGAGTATTTGGGGTCATTTTTTGGGTCACGTTATTTGAAAGTATATGTACTGATTCAATAGCATCAGCTCAGATGGAATTCTGGGTAATACTGAAATCATCTTAACAGGTCTAATAGATGGCTAAATAATTTCAATAATAGAATATTCAATTGCGCTCCAGCTGATGACTGGAAAACATTTCCAAAATTGGAAATTTGAAGGTCAACCATATTGACTAATTAGCTTATTTTAATTTCTCTTGTATTTATTAGTGGTTTGACCAGCCACCTGTTTCAGATGGCCAGCAACAAGTAATGATAGCACCTCCAATTATAATACAAAATACTTTCACTTAGTCTGTTTAGCTAGAAGAAAAACACTCAATTGGTACGGCTAGAAGACAACATTAGACAGTGTTCTCTTTACATGTTCCTCCATGGCTGTCCAAATACTGTCTGCCAGTCAGTATGAAGCTTAGTACACAACTGATTAGTTTCACTATGTCCACATGTACGCCTGGTCTTCATGGACACGCATATAGTATCTAATAGTCGAACAATAGGCTTTGCATATATTAATGACAATATTCAGTCGATCACTCCCCTAATCCATGCGCATTACATAGGGTTCCTCAACTTGCTGATTATAAATAAAGAGTACATAATCGTAAGAACATCATAATGTCATTAGAAATCGATTGTGCATTGTGAGTGATATTTCAACTGTTCTAATCTTGCAAAAATCTCAATTTGATATAATTATTTCTTATTTTAGGAATGAATGAAATACCGAAATTATAGGTGAAATTAACTCGACAAGGTTGCTCTCTACACGCTCATGAAAAGTGAACGATGGTGGCGCAGTATCTCTGTCATAATATAATTCAACGAGGTCTGGTAGATTAGCATGACACATTACCACGAGTTTAATACACTTATGATTTCAATTATTTTACCGTCACTTTCCATGATTCCTTGCTGCAAATTGCTGACCAAAAAGCGTCAATGTTCACGTTGAGAGGGGTGAGTTATTTAAGGCAGTGAAGCCGTGAAACAGTTGTGGTAATGAGGAAATTATGTTAACCCTCTTTTTTTTCACAAAACCACGCTATAGCATTCTAAGTGACTAATCTTCAGCTTTTTCGGAGACATCCGGAGAATTGTCCGTGTATATAACGCTCACGAAAAGCTAAATGTTATTTAATAATCTTTATTGATATATGAAAAACTGCGCTTGGTGCTTCATCACTACTGACAACATTGTTTCCATCATCTTAAATAAAGAAATACATAGCTTTAACAATCACAACTTATCGACAAATCAGTTCATTAATAACACACAGTAATGATCTTAAAGATGTTTGAATCAAATTGAAGAATGTAGCTCATGTTCATTAAACTTTCAATATTATGGTTTCATGCCATCCGAATACCGAAAACGAAAACAAATGTAACTACCAGACTATATTTCGAGATACAAGCCTAAACAATGACACACGAATTGGTTGACATTTGCAGTTTACATCGGTTCCTATGATTATGAGATAATTCCTCTATAAATCTTAGAATTTGGTTGTGAATATACTGATTTCACCGACGTTTTTGATACTGTTACACATTGTTTTGTTACGAACTGCGCCTGCGTTCAACTTATTTGTAAGTAAATATCAAAATGTTATTATTCATGGATTTTATCTATAAGCACCATTTATCTTATGTGATTCCACGTGGTTTGATTTTTGGCCCCTTTATATTTTGTCATTCATTCATACTAATGACATTACAGATGTTTTGCGTGAAATTGTTTGGGTCTGACCTTCGTATTTGGATTTTATTCCAGGAAATTATTATACCCGATATATCTTTTTGCTCAAATCGCTATCCTATACACCTGTTAGACGGTTGAGGGCGTCACTGCTATTTTTGAAACCACGTACAAGATTGAGTATCAGTTTTATACAATGATATTTCTGCTTATATATTTATGTAAAAGATGCTATAGTATTTTTTGGTTTATAGATATGTATCCTTTTATTCATATGCTTGTTACGGTGTGTGATAGTTACTGTATTTATTTTATTGCAGTATGTTATTGGGCCTTTAGCCTATCGACTCGTGAACTAAATAAACACACAAATAAATATGAATATATACAACTGACAGTCGGTTTCCAGCTTGATTACAATTTACCGTTATATATAATGCGTTGCATATATGCGCAGTAACATGCTCAGTAGAGCAAAATTTGAAATCGGCTTTAACTGTCTTAGGTTAGATGATATTTTTCATTGGATGTCAGTAATACTTTATTTTAATAAACACAGAAACTACAGTTTATAAATCACGTGACACAATATACTACGAATTGTTACCACAACTTCGTATATAATGTCTGACTAAATCGTCATGCCTGAATTTTATTTGTAATTGGTCAAACAAAAATCACGTTACTAACGATGTCATTCCAATTTCCTTCCAATCTAATACTTCACGTTAATATTTTTGGCATTGGAAGTACAAATGTTCGGCTCTTATCCTCGAATTCCCGCTGGTTGCGAACTTTTTCCCATCCGAAGATGTTGTATACGCGATCGGAGCATACATTTTGAATAATCTCAACTTCTCTAAAAGTGAAACGATCGCGCCATTTGAAAACCGAATTACTATATTCAGTATATCCATCCGCAGGTTTTTTGTCCTTCAACCCAACAAATTTATACATAATGGGTACGACTATATCTGGATGCATAGCCATGTCTTCAAAGCGAACTAACATGGAGTTTTCTCGTAGCCAAACAGGACCGGTTGTTATGGCGTTATAGTTATCTTCAAGCCATTTGCAGTGAGCTTCTACATACAGTTTCAGTTTGGGTTGTAATCGTACAATGTTAGACGTGTTTCCAGACGCTGCGTTACCCGGGTATATCATTCTATATCTTGAACTCACCATACCACGTGGATCGCGAGCTAAAAACAACACCTTAACATTATCGTTTTGCAGCCTGGGTATGAATGGGAGGAGATTGGTTAGTCGGACAACCTTCGATATGATGTGCTGCTTCGATAGGCAAATTGACGTGAGTGTTTTCTCAGTTATAGGACTGGGAAGATAGTCTAGATGCCCGCGTATCTTGTGGAATACATGTTCGTTCATTGCTTGTGTGAAGTAAGGATGGTTGGCGAAACTACAATGAAAAATATCATGTAGGAAATCGCGGAGCTTCGTTTGGATTTTGCCGAGGTGGAAGCCTCTGTCGTTTTTGACACCAGTATTAAATACATACCACATTATCATATGCCCTGGTTCGTATGCATAGAAAAAATCCGAACGGCTTCCGAAATATTCAGCAATTGCTTTAGATCCGGTTTGCATTCTGGCTGTTACTAATATACGCACATGTTTTTCTGCAGTGTTAGGAAGGTGCAGAGGTCGCGATCCGTTCTGTTTATCATCTGAGGATGTAGAAACATTCGATGTTTCAATTTCGACGTGATTAATGTGTGTTGAATAATTTAATGTTCTCTGTAAGTTCACCGATTCTCCATTTGTCACTCCAATACCGTTTATTGTAAACTGCTTATGTAATAAACAAGAGTAGGTTCCACTGGATAGAAATATGAATATACCAATTATAACTACGACAATCATCGAAAACACCACGCCGTTTTGAGCAGCAACACTCTTCATCGTACAGCACTATATGGGAGAAAAAAAGGATGGAATGATGTAAAAAGTATATATTTATCTAAATCTGTGTCCCTATTTGTGGATGAATTTGTAAATTGCATTCGTCAAATTAAACAGTCGTTATTTTAGATTAGTGCCAACGGAACCACTGTGTTCATGAAACCATGCATCTTTTAGCTAAAAGAAATAACAAAAATACACAAGCAACAAGAAATTACACGGATAAAGAGAAGTACTTAAAGTACCACAATCATGCTAGATTGACAACTTTAAAACGACGACCGGGCTGCATTACAGATACTGTAAAATACTTAATTTTAGCTGGTATTATTTTTCGCTGAGCAGACATGCTGGCTGTTTTATAAGTAGATTATTTTCACAGATTTTTGATGAGTTGAACGTGAAACAGGCGAAAAGGTATTTTCTATTTATCCTTTCAGCCTTAAATTAGTATTACAAAATACGTCTGTCGTTTATCCTCGGGGCGGAGCTACGTCACGGACGTTCTACGTTGCTAAGACGCGCACCACTGTACCACGTATTTCTATGGGCTTTGTGCGCGCTGCTGTGGAACGACGGTGGAGCCGGTGAAAACTCGAGAAAACAACACAAACTCAACTTAAAAGTAATTCTGAACAACCAAATTCATATATGTTACACACGCAGGGCTAATCTTGTTACACTGCTCAGGGGACTCTCAACAACCATCGCAAAGTACCGTTTTCTGCGAGTTTTTGGTCTTTGTTTTCACCGCGAGGGTTGCCAGGCGGTAGAAAATGCCCGGATGTCCGCCCCCGAGGATAGCAAGCATTTAAGCTAGCCCTTTCAGCCTCGCCAAAATACACGAACTAATCAGTAGCACTCTGTAATGTCAATGTTGATGACATGTCCATAATTATAGCTGTCGTAAATTCAAAAGCAAGACAACGAAGGATTTGTCTAAATTGTCACATAGAAAGACGTACTAGTATTATTTTTATGTAATACGCATACATATAAATAGCGCCCTCTAGTGACAAAATGCTTCTATGTCGCAAATGTAGGAAACGAGCACCGTTAACAATATGACATCATTTTGATCAGTGGTTGTTGACTCTTTTTATTTTAGAAATTCGATATATTTCTAAATAACGAGCGACTGAACAAACAGTTTTGGTTTTGTGTGTCATTGCAGGACCGAATGAATTGAAAAAGTTACTTGCACTGTATAACTAGCAATGGTCAATGTAAAAATGTGAAAACAGCATTTATTATTACAGAAAATCAATCTGTACTTCAAAATTATTCAAACGGTAATAATATATTTAATACACAGTACAGTAGACATTAATTTATTCAACTATCTGTTTAATTATTTATGATTACGGTTAATGTTTTTAAATATTTCTTCGATACACTTAATTGAAAATATACTATAGCAATTGTTCCGGTTGTTAAATGAGATTTTTAGTAAAACTATTCAATCCTGTGAGTGAGTAACTGAAATACAGCCAGTAGTGGACACCTGTTCACCTAATGTGTTAACGGAATAGCATTCTGAACAGATAGACTGTCTTTTTTTCATACTACACGGAGTTGAGGATGTAGGTGAGATTTTCCTACTTCTATACACTTTGAACAAGTTATCTGCTATTCTAAATAGGCGACAAACATGATGCAATTATCCACAATTTTTACTACAATTCCACGAGTTCATGCTCTATAGTGTTACTCGTATATTCTGCATGTTGTCTCTCTCTATCTCGTCGTACGGGGCGCTACTCACAAATGCAGTTAAGGTTCCCAACTGTTGGTGGCGCTGCTACGCATATGTTTGAAGGATCTACTTCATGGCTTAGTATCACCATGGTTCCTCGTGCCCGTTTCTTGTACACGCATCACGGTTGCTACATTTACTGTGGTGTCTGCGTCAACAACGGCTGGAGCAGCTAGCACTGCTTATAGAATCGCGTGAAATTAGAAAGGGCTGCCACCGAAATTAGTTATTGTGTTAAAAACAAGACAGTATAACCCTAATGACCAGACCGAAACGTACGTGCAATGTACACGATTGTTTTTATTTATATCCCATCGTTCTAATGGAGGTTACAGTATTATCAGGCTGTTTTTTTGAAGGATCTCAAACAAGCGCGTGGAGGAAAGTTTTGGGGTTTTCTGCATAGTGCGCATATCGTTTTTCCTCAGCAATTTTCGTTCTCATTGAACCCGGGCGCCCATTACTATTTTGTTACCACGGAGCGTTGAAACATAAATATACAGGCACTGAACGGGCCGATTTAATCGATAGATGAACTTAGATGAACGTATAGTTGATTGTAGATTTTTTGCGTTTCGAATATTATTATATTTTTGTGTGATTTTGCGGCGATTTTTACTCAATATGGACAATTAAATGGCTAATATTATGTTCATTTTACTCTTTAATATAGATGTACAAATTGTCTCGTCCACAAAGGTAGCGACATTTCTATCAGTTCACTATATGTAAGCCGTCGGCCGTCAAATGTTTAATAATAAACTACTGTGTCATAATAAACTACTACGAGAATGCAATCGGTATTGGGAATCAAATTAAAATCAAGTATTTTTTAAATATTGTTGTTTTGATACCCTGATTACGATTTATCATAAATTACAAAATCAGTAGAATTCGTTAAAAGAAGAGTACCACTAATACGCATGTGCAGTAATTAATGCTACCAAAATCAGATTTCTTAATTAAAATGAAACAATCAGTTTTGATCATTTAGATCAATTAAAGTCAAAAGAATGATATATTGACCCAGGAGGCCCAGAAGTGAAATCAGGCGCATATCCTGCTCTACCGGTAGCACCCGCCATATATACTTATTCAAATGATTAACAACGCGTTTTGTCAGACAGATGAGTTGTATTGTTCGCGAATGCCTGGTGTTTAGGCAGTCCAGAGTAGTTGGGGGTTACCGTATACGTTAGTCCTAAAATTAAAAATTTCATTTCCATACACAAACGCGAAATAATTTAATAATAATTTGTGACTGTACACAGCTTTGATTGAATATTGGATTGAGTATTGCAGTTGCGGCTACCAGGATAAACCACAAAGTAATTATTTCAATACGTTACAGTCGGGTTCTTTGGAGTGATTATTTAAATATAAACTAGGTAGGTGTTATATATATGGTTATATATATACCTAATTCCTATATATATACGCAATTTCGCATTCTATGTGTCAATGTGTTCCACTGCAATATTAAAGTTTTTTTTTACCTTAGCGTCAGTTTCACGTAAAATAATTTGCAACGTATTATTTCATAACATAGTGCTTATCATACACTATAAACATAATCAATACAACGACATTGTATAAACTCATAAATATAACCTGTTACACAAAAATAATATTAACATAGTAGGAACACGCGCACTATTGAAAACAAACAAAAACATTCCACTCCTACACACAAATTTCAACCAGACGGCATGGTTGCGCGAATTATCAAAAACATTTCCATATTTACCAGCAATAAATTTTCGCGTACAAGTATATGTCGATTTTCAATCAATCGGCTTTGCTACCCGTATTAGCTGCTGACCGACCGATCGATGGATTTATGTCAAACGGCTGTCACCAACCATAATCATAAATTACCTATTTATGTTTTCATTTCAAGATTAATTATTATTGGTAATTTACATTATTCCTGTTATTTGGTGATTTTCGTTCTCGAACATTAATCTAGAAATGTAATTACTAATTAAAATTGGTCAAATGCGCTTAGTCATTTAACGATGATATTGTGAGGACTTGTTTGTGGCTTATAGCATATCTGATAATAATCTTAATGACCCTGTTAAAGTAATCATCCATCGAAAATATTTGAAACTCCAATACTGAATTATTATTATGCAAATTTAAACTCTAATGAAGAAGTTGGAGATGTTTTTGTTTTTGCGTAATGATTTTGCACTATGTGAGAAAACGATGATTATATTTACTTTTGATATACCAAATAATGTTAAAAGCTTACAGTTTGTCATCTTATGAAAACACAACCAACTAATTTACAAATCATCGATTCATTCATTGTCGAATTTATTTGTCCCTAACCTTTCAGAGTACTTGCCAATTGCCGTGACAAATTGTTTGTATTATTATAAATACCAGAAAATATAATTATTCTTTAATCCATATGCTGCCTCAATACGGAATGTGGTGGAGCATAATGTTTAGAGTGGCCAGTCAGCAATTATCAATTCTCTTTCGCCGTATGTACAATGACATAACTAAAGCATCAAAACATTAAAATAGCACAATATCATACTCGATACGAGATCTTAAATGACAAATTTAAAGAAAAATTACCGTTTAACAGCACAGTTGAAATGCATTCCGCCAAGTTGTCTCAAATGAGCAGCACTGTATGGAAGTGTAGCACAGCTGTTGTCACGAATAAAGAATTAAGCAGTGAACCAAATCACATAAGGATATATATGCATTTAATCCACTGTACCAGTTCGTTGACAGAGATGTAAACATAAAATAGTCAAATGAAATTGTCGTTGTTAAACATAGAATCAAGTAACTTCACAATACTTCGACAGTACTATATATGTGGTATATATGTAGTGCCACAGTTAATGTAACCATAGAGATAGAAGAACTGTGACCTGACATAATGATATTCATTGATCATCAGTGTCGAATTCATATTTGTCGTTTAGTTACCTAGCAACGTAACGTAATCCATATGTATGCTCATGTAAACATTCTGTTTGGAGCAATGGAATTCGTTTTATTATGCTGCGGTCATTGCTGACTAGTTCGTGTTAACATGCGTTTCTGGATTTCATGTCCACTGCAATAAACAACGTGTATGATTCGCCGCTGATATATGAAAGCGAGGCTCGGATTGCAAATAGTCAGCAATGACTGCGCCATAATACCAGTAAAGCGAACCGACATTTGAAGTTAGCGGTTTTCGGATGAATACCACTAGAGGGAATAACAAAATACC